CCATTTCGCAGGCGGTCGCGGGGCTTCGAATGCACAACCTCCTGAATGCCACTTGAGTGCCTGACCAACTGAGCTTCCGTTGCATCTTTCTTTTGGAAGAGGGGGGGGACCATTTCTCTATTTATCCAGGTCATGCCATGCTAATCTTCTCTGTATAGTTCCAATTTTAATGAGGGAGAAGAGGACAACAAACGAGGGGCTGTGAGACAGTGTTTCGTCGGAGTTTCACTGACTCGTCAGGAGGCTGAACCGTCAACAGTCTGCAGAATCCCCTAACTGATTACACTGTAAGTGATAATCCACCTTAACCCCGGTTGTGGTTAAGCATCAACGACTGCCCAACAAGCGAAACCCCGGTTGTGGTTAAGCATCAACGACTGCCCAACAAGCGATAACCCTGAGGTGGGCACCAACCACTGCCGTCAAGGTACCTGTGACGAAAATCAAAGCAGACTATCACTCACCCACACCAGATGGAAAACTCTACAGACTGTCGGTTCACACCCCATCGCAAGCAACAACCAAGCAAAACACCCACGAAACAAAGAAAGGTCTGTCACAGCCAAAAAATACACTCCAGACACGCCGCATATGTGTACATCGTCAAACAGAACCGCCCGGTAGACCATAGGCACAGAGAGAGAGAAGAGGACAGCAAATGAAAGCCTGTGACAAATTGTTTCCTCTCGTTTGTTGTCCTCTTCTCACTCTCTGCCTACAGTTTACCGGGCAGCTCTGTTTGACGATATACACCCCGACTTCGCTAGCACCCTGCTATGGTTTTCTCCGGTCAGGTTGAGCAGCGGCGGTCGGGGCCGTCACTACGCGAAGTACGCAGCTATGCTGTGCCTCTAGTGCCAGCGGCGTGTCTGGAGTGTACCTAGGCTACCAGAGCGGCCCGGGACCACTTACCCGATCGGGCCGAAAATGTACATTGTACATACATATATATATATATCGTATGTAGAGTTTTCCATCTGGTGTGGGTGAATGATAGTCTGCTTTGATTTTCGTCACAGGTACCTTGAGGGCAGTGGTTGGTGCCCACCTCCTCAGAGGGGTGTCAGTTGTCGGGCAGTCATTGAAACCACAACCAGGGTGAAGCTGGATTATCACGCACAGTATGTGCAATCAGTCAGGAGATTCTGCAGACTGTTGAGGGTTCAGCCTCCTCCTGATGAGTCGATCGGTGAAACACTCCGATGAAACAGTTTGTCACAGCCCCTCCCTCGTTTGTTGTCCTCTTCTCCCTTTCTCCCTCTCTGCCTACTGTTTACCAGTTCCCGGGCAGCTCCTCTGTTTGATCATATATATAGGATATATATAGTCATAGACTTTTATGTTCGTCCATCTGTCTTCGTCCATCTTTCTAAAATGCAATCAATGGAACAGAATTACTGTTCTCGCATCCATCAAAATAGATCGCGTCGCGATCGTATTTATCAATTGATTCTCGCGTGATTAGAACTTCGAACGCAATTCTAACACCGCTACTCACCAACTGTGCAAAAGAAATGAGAATGAATGTTCCGCTAGAAACATGGGAAGATACACCGCCATATTTTGTCCTTTGTGCATGTGTTAACCAGTGGAGCGAGGCCCTCAATTGACTTAGAAAGGCATATTGATTCCCTTCGAGTGCAGCACCATCAAAAGAAAGAACAAGAAAAATCTGCCCCTTCTCCCCCCCCCCCCCCCCCCACCCCAAAGGAAAAGAGAAAAAGAGAAAAAGAGCGTCAACTAGAATTTATAAGGTAACTTCCTGTTGAAGGGCCCTTATTGATATTCAGTGTTCTTTTAAAACCCTCTCAAGGGCCCTTATTTAAAACCTCTTAAAGGCCCCTTATTGGCCGCGCACTACCCTGCCCTCTCATCTCGTCCGTCGGGCGTAAAAGTTGCTCGATCGCAAGATTAATGGGAGGGAGAAAAAGACAACGGAATTTTATTTTTATTTTTTCTAATTTTTTTTTCCAACGGCATTTTTTCTTTTCAATCCGTTGCTGTAAAAAAAAAAAAGGCTGAAAAATATATTCATCATGAACGACTCCCTAAGGCCTGTCTTCGAAAACTTTCCTGCCATCCATCGCCCCAACTTAATTAGTACATTTTGTTTGAAAATTTCCCTCCATGTCGTATCCGATTTAATAATCTTATCATTAAAAATTCGAAATCAAATTATCGTAGACGTAAAGACGAATTTATGAAGGCACAACATATATATATATCGTATATATATCGTCAAACAGAGCTACCCTGTAAACCGTAGGCAGAGAGGGAGGGGAGGGAAAAGAGGACAACAAACGAGGGAGGGGCTGTGACAAACTGTTTCATCGGAGTTTCAACAACTCATCAGGAGGCTGAATATATAAATCTATGAAGGTATTTAAAGTCTCGCTCCACTACTCCCCACATGCAGAAAAGACAAAAATTTGGCAGTGTTTCTTTCCATGTTCTAGCCGAAGATTCATTATCATTTTGCACATTTCATGAGTAGTGGAGCGAGGCAGGCTCAGAGCCACTGCCACTTCTCAGTCCCTCCCTCCCCCCACTTCCCCACCAACGACCTTTACGGTTTCCTTTCGCAGGTGTCTCTTATTCTGTTCCTGCCCGCTCCTACTCCCCCCCTCCCCCCCCCCCCCTTTTTCAAAAATGAGGGCTTCATTTCTAAGGGGTTCATTTCATAACAAGAATGAGGCCGGGGGGGGAGACAACTCGGAAGAAGGCATCTGGGCCGAGGTCCCACTAGCAAAAAGGATAGGATCGAGCTCCTGAATCTGGATGTGTTTTAAGCACAGATGCAGAAAAGCAGTTCAATCTCGATTTCCTGCACATCTCGATAAACTCGTCCAGATTCAGGCATTCGATCCGACCCTCTTTGCTAGTGGGACCACGACCCTGGAAGCATCAGAGAGTTGCCTCACCGCTCCACAACTCACCATGGTCTGACTGTCAAAAAAAAAAAACACACACACGGCGAGTGGGCTGCGGTGAGCACTCACCATGGGCTTCCTTTTCTCCGCCTGCCCGTGATCTGGCGGAGAAAAGGAAGGCCATTCTCCTCCTCCGCCTCCGCAAGATCACGGGCAGGCGGAGAATGGCCTCCTCGTCTTCCTCCTCTTCCCCTTCACCTCTTCTTCCTCCTCGTCTTCCTCCTCCCCTTCCCGCCTCCTCGTCTTCCTCCTCTTCTGGCGGAGAATAGCCCCAGATCTGGCAGAGAAAAGGAAGGCCATTCTCCGCTGCCTCCTCGTCTTCCTCCTCTTCCCCTTCACCATGGCGTTTTAAGAGAAGGAGGCGGCGGAGGAGGAGGAGGAAGACGAGGAGGCCGAAGAGGAGCAGATGAACGTTATTGCGAAAATAAGGAGAAGGGGATAAGGGAGAGTCATATTCGTAGGGGGAAGAAAGCCGAGGAAGAAGAGAGAGGAGGAGGAGGAGGAGGAGAAGAAGAGGAAGAAGAGAAAGAGGAAGAGGAGGAGGAGGAGGAGGAGGAAGAAGAGAAAGAGGAAGAAGAGAAAGAGGAAGAAGAGAAAGAGGAATCACATGGGACAAGACGACGATGAGCATTACGTTGCAAAGAAGCAGAACTGTGTTACGGAGGACCTTTCACCGACACCTCTAGAACTTAGTATATATTGCCACACTGTGAATCAGAGCGTGCAGGCGAAAAAAAAAAGACAAAACAAGAAAAGGAAAAGAAGGAAGGAAGGAAGGAAAGCTTCACCTGCTCATCACCTCTTACGTACAAGGCCAGCCACGTGGATGACAGGTTGAGCGCTGGCTGCACCCATCCCCGTGTGGCACAAGGACCCACTTGCACGCAGCCAAAAGGCACAAAAGAGGTAAAGAAAAGGAGGGAGGAGGAAACCAAACCTGACAAG